GACTGTATTTAATATTTTATAAGTCGATGTGGTTTTATGTGGTCATGTTATGAAGTCATTTAATAAAGGTTTATTATCCTATAAAAATATCACATGTACACGCATAATGACAAGTGTACAAGATGAATCTTTTCTGGTAATAAACTATCTTAAAATGCAATCGTACGTAAATAGAATCGACTTGTAAAGTCACCTACAATTATAAAATAGGTTTAAAAGTCAGAATTGAAAGATTGCTATTCAAATATGCAAGGTGTCTTGATGTCTTAACAAGAGTTGAATTCAAAATTAAAAATTTCAATTACTTAACAAGTCCATAAATATTACCATATTTTTAATTTAAATAGCAACTTTTTGACAAGTAAACATTATAAAATCACTAAAGTATTCTTAAGACCTCAGTTTATTCGTGTCAAGTGCTTGTTTGAGACGGGGACGCCCGGCACGGTAAGATGCATTTTAGGTTAAGTTTGATGTTAATTTCTATGCAATGTTTTTTCGTGTTTCTATTGTTACATATGATAATAACTTTATTATGCAAATGTTTATTTGAAGAAGTGCATATTCACTACATTTATATGTGTCAGTTATACTACTCAAAATTTTCGTTTTTTAAACCATACTATTGTTCACATATTTCTACATTATATTTTACTAGCTGTTGCCCGGGAGTTCGTCCACGCAATATTAAGATATAAAAGTAGCCTATGATATGTCCGATTATGTCAACTACTTTCCAGTTAAAGTCCTATCGAAATCGGCCCATCCGTTTCGTTGTTTACCTGGCACAAACGCGGCTTGCGACAGACATACAGACAACATTTTTTTAAAAGATTTTGTGTTATTAGCAACGCAAATGCATCATCTTCCCGATATCTGGAATTTTTCTTTTGATATTTCAAACAGACACTTCAATTTCATTATAAATGTAGCTTTTGATTATTTGTTAATTTATTTGATAAAACCGGCAATATAATTATTTTTTAATTTTCCTACCAATAAAATATTTGTATTTAGGTATAGATAAATGGTATTTATAAAACATTAAAGTAAAAATTTATCTTAATTCTTCATAGTATTGTTGAAATAAATTCAACTCGCATTAAAAACATTATAATGATTTTAAATGACTATTTGTTAGCAGTCTACAGTTAATGCAAAACATTTCCTACGTAAATTTAAAATTTTCAACTGATAAAGCAATCACATTTTAACGACAGTGGCGCCATCTCTTAGCGTTAGTAAAAAAACTTATTGATGTCTGCAATGTGATAAATTTCATTTACTAACGAATTAAATGTAGCATAAAATTCTAAACATTTTAATGAATTTCTATCGAAATTAGGCAAATCTATACACGGAATTTTTATTAAACGATTTAGAAATTCCAGATGAATTTAAATTCTGTTCCATATTACTTTGCCATATATATGCTATCTAAGATAAGATTCAATACATCTTTGGACTTAACAAATTAATGAATTAAAATTGCTTTCCACTACTTCCCTAACATTTCGATCTTTCCTTTAATTAAAAAAAAATTTCGACATTAAAGACTGAAATCTGTCCAACTTTAATAGAAGCTCATAGATTTTAATGTCGATAACAGTGCTTAAATAAAGAAATTTTCCCTTTAACAGTACCACTAACATGAAGTCTTCGGGTATTATTAAATCTAGATTAAAAGAACGCGCACCAACGAATAACGTGGTAAGTAAACTAAGCGTAATAATAAAAGCCAAACCGTGCAGACCGCTGTAGCTATGTACAACGGTCAAACAGCAACCAGTTCCGTCAGCTGATCCTCGGCGCCTCGCCGCGCTGACGCCGCAACTCTGCGGCAGCGAGGCTCGGTGACAGCGAGGCTCGGCGCACTCGTATATCCCGCTGGTGGCTGGCGCAGCGGCAGCGGCTGAAACATTCGGCATATACTATTACACTAACTGCCTTTTATTGTTTACGTTTTATTTTGCTAAACAAAAAGTAAAATGGTAAGTTAGAAACAAGAAAACTAAATTTTAAATATAGTAGGGCGTCGTATTAAGCCAAGCTATATGCGAATTAAGCGATTTTATTATGCTAATCTACAATTTACATTATTAAATCTATCAGTTATATAGATGCAATAACTGGCGTAATAATAAGTATTAACCAGCAAACTCTTTCAAAAATTCACAATCTTCGGTATTTAAATAAAATGTTACTCCATTTTCGAACTTATA